AGGCGTCGGTTGCCTACGGCGCGTCCCGCGCAGGGAGCTCGCCAGCCGTCGTGAGGTTCGTGGAGGCGAAGACGGCTGCAGTGCGCGCGGGCGCGGGCGCCTTCCGTTCGGGCGCGCTAGGCAGGGCGCCGGCCGCCAGGGCGGACGGCGCCGAGCAGCTGCGGCTGGCGCCGATGCGAGCCTGGCTGCGCCTGGGACTGCGCCGACCGCCGCGTGGCCAGCGATGCAGAGAGCTCTGAAGCAAGCTCCCGGCGCCTTCGACCTTTGGAGGATTGTCAAAGGCCCAGCAGCGGCCACCATGTTGACGGCACACGAGATAGGATGGCTCATGACCGACGCCTGACACTTCCAGGCATCCAGCGAGCTGATTGACATTCGTGAAGTTTCGCCGCAGGAGGTGCTGAGGCGGGCCGAGAACACCATCGTGGACAGGAGAGTCTCAGATTGGACTTGGGCCCAGGAGGATCGTCGGCCTTTCCGTTTCAAGCCCCTCCTGTCACCCGTCAAGCAGCTCATTCGCGCCCAGAAGACTGGCAACTGGACTCGGTGCCACATATCTGCGCCCGCGCCGCTGCTCTGGGAGCGCACCCGTCGCAGGTGGCGTGCTACGAGCGGCGGGAAGTGGAGAGTCCAAGGTGCCCTTTGTGTAAGAGGGCACACTGATGCATGTGCACTACAAGTGTGATTCGGAGGCCTGCGAGAAGATCAGGAGTGAGCTCGCGGACCCTATGGCGAAGCACAGCTTCAGAGACGTGGTCCATCTGGGCGAGACGGCGGCCAGCAGAGAGGAGCAGCATTGTCGTGATGGTGACCTGCTGCACTGGATGTGGGCGCGGGGCCTCATCCCGGACCCTGTGGGTGAGTACGTCGTCCCGACTCCTCCTGGCGCCTGCGCGTTCGGAGACCTGGACGGTGACCGCGTCTTGTCGGGCTGGGTTGCCACGGACGGCTGTGTGCTCTGTCCAGACGTGGAGGAGTTGTCCACAGGAGGCTTCGCCACCATCAGTCGGGATCTTGAGAAACAGTGGGCGTCAGGCTGTCTTTGGGGGCGTTCCCGACTCACGGCTCGCGTCGGCACACTGCGAGATCTGGGCCGTCTTCCAGGCCGTTCGGAATTCAGTGGGGCTCGAGGGGCTCATCATTGACAGTAAGTCCACTGTTGAGGGCCTCCTGGCTGGTAGGGAATTTTGCGAAGGGAGCGACCAGATAACCGCGCATCTGCGGCGCAGGGTTTGGGCTGTCTTGGAGGACCATGGGCTCGCGCCTGGGGTGGACCTCCAGATTGCCAAGATAAGGTCTAACCAAACCGTCGCGCAGGGAACTCACCTAGAAGGGGAGGTTCTAGTGCCATTCCGGATGAACAAGTTTGCTGACTCCCGCACGAGACAGAGGCGCTGATGAGCACGCAGCACCGCAATGGCGATTTGACCAGGTTAAGGCTGATTTGAAACTCATGCGTAGGAATTTGAGTGTTGTTGTTTCTTGTTGCGTGAAGCTGACAGAGTCCAGGGTTGCCACCGCGAGCCTGCCTCCTCCCACCGCTGGACGAGCTCGGACAACAAAAGGTGCGGCCCCCCCGTCCCGCGGTCGCGCCCAAGCGGATCCACAGGCTCAGGCTCTTAGGAGGTGGCACCTGGAAATGTACGGCCTGCCCTCGCACCGTCCTCCTTCCCCGTCGGCTGGCGGCGGCTCGCAAGGAATTGAGTCTTGGTTGGGAGGGCGCGTTGGCCAAAGGCAGGGCCCGTCTGGTTTCAAGGACCCTGATCCACGGGAACGGTCCAAACAGGTCCACTTTTGTTTCGGGAACCGAGGTCGGAGGGGCCGAAGCGATGCCGAGCTCGGCGTCCCCACCCGCACCGCGTCGTCATGAGGTGGTCGAAAGAGTGGGCTACGCCGTGTGTGTTGTTTGTGGTGCCTCCGCCAAGTCTCGAGCCCAGAAGCTGCTGCGAGACTGCGAGGGCCCTCTAATGAAAGGAGTCGCGGCCCACAGGAGTCGGCGACGATACCTGGAACGTCTCCCCAGCAATAGGGATCCCTACACAGGCAAGCCTGTTCGGGAGCAGGATTGGCGAACTGTTTTTCGGCCAGGAGTTGTGCGGTTGTTTGAGGCCCGCCCCCAGGAGCCCCCAGGACAAAAGAGGAGGAATGGAGGCGGAGGAGGAGGAGGAGGAAGAGGAGGAGGAAGAGGAGGAGGAGGAGGAGGAGGAGGGGGATGGGGGATGGGGGATGCGGAGGCGGAGGCGGAGGAGGAGGAGGAGGAGGAGGAGGAGGAGGAGGAGGAGGAAGAGGAGGAGGAGGAGGAGGTGGATAAGGAGGACGAGGAGGAGGAGGACGAGGAGGAGGAGGACGAGGACGAGGACGAGGCGACGTCGATAACGACGACGATGAAGACGACGACGAGGCCGAGGACGACGACGACTGCGAGGCCGAGGGCGACGAGGAGGAGGAGGCGGAGGAGGGGGCTCTGGATTGCCTCCGCGAGACCTTGGGGGGGCCTCCGTGGGAATCTCCAGAGGCTTTTGGACCGCTGGCTCGGCGCTTCGGCGGGAGGGGGGGGGCGCAGACGACGCTGAGGACGACGCCGGGGACGAGGACGAGGCCGACGACGAGGCGACGATGACGATGACGATGAAGACGACGACCACGAGGAGGAGGCGGAGGAGGAGGAGGAGGGACGAAAGGGACGACGACGAGGACGACGACGACGAGGAGGCCGAGGCCGAGGCCGACGGAGGCCGAGGATAGCGACGACGATGACGTCGAGGCCAGGGACGAGGTGGAGGAGCAGGAGGAGGAGGAGGAGGAGGAGGAGGACGAGGAAGATGAGGAGGCGGAGCCCGAGGCCGAGGCCGAGGACCACGACGGCAACGACGCCGAGGCCAGGGACGTGGATGATGCTGCTGAGGAGGAGGAGGAGGAGGAGGAGGAGGAGGAGGAGGAGGAGGAGGAGGAGGAGGAGGAGGAGGAGGAGGAGGAGGAGACGGAGGAGGAGGACCAGCGTAAACCCCAAACCCATTTAACGATGTTGAACTACACCCTCTCTCCCAGATCCCCCTTCAGAAGCCCCTACACTGGGTCATTTCCGCTGAGGGAATCGCCCCGTTTGGGGACACCCGTGTGAGAAACTTGAACCGTGCCAGAACACCGTTCTCCGAATTTTCACTTCACGTGTGAACCTGATTGTTACGTCCTGGCGATACTGACTCTCGCCAGAACAACATTCCTGGCACTTCAACACCGCGAATCAAAGTACCTGATGCTCCTTGCAAATCGTTCCGAACACGACTTCTTGTACGCTAGCAGTGAGAAGCACTGCAACATTTTGCGCAGGTTTATGACGAAAGTGCGCGGCGCTAAGGCGAGCTCTACTTTTTGAAAACGAGCCGCCCTCAATCCGTAAAGTTCTTGTACGTGTTTGGAAAAATATGCGCGGCGCTAAGGCGAGAGCCACATTCTGAAAACGACCCGTTCTCAATCCGTGAAACTCTGGCGCATTTCGATAATTGATAGGCGCGGTTCTTAGGCGAGACCCGCATTTTGAAGACGACCCGCCCTCAATCCGTGAAGCTTTAGTCTTTTTAAAACGAGTATGCGTGGCGCTCAGGCGAGAGCCACATTTTGGAAACGACTCGCCCTCCATCTGTGAAGCTGTTTTTTGTTAAACAAATCTTCAGAGTCACATATTGTGAGGAAGTCTTACGCGAAAGACCCCTCAACCCGTTAAGCTCATGCAGATTTTACACGAGTGTGCACGGCGCTAAGGCGAGAGCCACACGTTGAAAACGAGCCGCCCTCAATCCGTGAAACTCTTGCAAGCTGTTACGACGAATGCGCACGGCGCTAAGGCGAGAGCCACAGTTTGAACACGACCAGCCTTCAATCCGTAAAACCCTTGCATACTTCTAAGAAGAATGTGCGCGGCGCTAATGCGAGACCCACATGTTGAAAACGAGCCGCCCTGAATACATGAAACTCTTGCAAATTGTGGAAACGAATGTGTGCGGCGTTCAGGCGAGAGCCACATTTTGGAAGGGACCCGCTCTCCATCTGTGAAGCTGCTGTCAAGTTTGAGCATCAGGGTCATAAGTGGTGAGGCAGTCGCAGGCGAAACGCCCGGCCCGCCCTTTCGACCAGCCTCGGGGTGCGGCAGAGAAGAGCTATGTATAATAAGGGAACGGAATGGGGGAGGAGGAGGAGGAGGAGGAGGAAGAGGAGGAGGAGGAGGAGGAGGAGGAGGAGCCACGACGAGGAGGAGGAGGACGAGGCGCCGACGAGGCGCCGACGAGGAGGAGGAGGACGACGACCACGACGACGACGACGACGACGACGACGACCATGATGAGGAGGAGGAGGAGGCGGAGGAGGATGAGGAGGAGGAGGAGGAGGGCGAGAATGGCGACGACGACAACGATGACGACAACGACGACGACGACGACGACGACGACGACGACGGCAGGGACGACGACGACGGTTCGTCGTCGTCGCCTTCGTCGAGCCGGAAGCCTTCAGGGGGCCTCTGGAGGGCCTCCAGGGAACCTGCAGAGGCCTCTTGAGCGCTGGCTCTGCGCTTCGACGGGAGGGGGGCCCGCACGACGACTAGACGAGGACGACGACGGCGAGGAAGAGGAGACGGAGTTGGATGAGGAGGAGGAGGAGGAGGAGGTGGAGGAGAAGGAGGAGGAGGAGGGGGAGGAGGAGGAGAAGGAGGAGTAGGAGGAGGAGGAGGAGGACAACGACCATGAGGAGGAGGAGGAGGCGGATGACGATGACGACGACGAGGACGAGGACGAGGGGACCTCGGCGACGACAACTACCACGAGGAGGAGAAGGAGGAGAAGGAGGAGGAGGACGAGGAGGAGGAGCAAGAGGACGAGGAGGAGGAGGACGATGATGTGGACGTGTACCACGACGACGTCGTGAAGGAGGCGGAGGACGACGATGAAGACGACGAGCTGCTTCTGCCTTCCTGTGTCAGCTGCTTGGGGAAGCCGCCGGCCCAGGCGGACTCATCGGCAGGCGCCGGTGCCCTGGGCCTGCTGGTCGTGTGGGTGCGGCGCTGGCCGTGGGAGATGCCGCTGGCGGCGCTGGTAGAGCGACTCGGTGGGAGTGCCTGGGCGACAGGGGTTCTGGTGATGGTACAGTGGGAATCCATCGGAAGGACGGGTAACCTTCCCAGGGGCACCCTTCGGCAGTGCGCCACTAGAAAAGCTTCAGCTTGAGCGTCCAAGGACCGACCGTCCAAGGGTCTTGCCTTGCGTCCTCGCAGCGCGTCCTTGCTACAAATTTTGGCTGTCATGTTGGTTTGATGCTGATTTTGATTGATGGGGCTGATGGTGTGTTCGCTGCAAATACAGTGGAGGCCAGTCCACAAGAATCCTTCCACGAGAAACCAAACCCTGAGACCCCAGGACGTCCATTGATTTTGGGGGGTGGATCGTCGCGCTTTCCACCAGAGCAAAACCATCGAAACCAAAGGAACCCAGGGCACCCTGGATGCAAGCAGGGTGTTTCTTGGCATCCGTCTCCACTGTACTATCCCGAAGTATCGGGCAGGGACTCGTGCGAGCTCTGCGGGAGCGTGGGGGAGAAGGGAGCGGCGGCGGCGGCGGCGGCCTGGTCGAGCGGCGCTGGTGAAGCCCCGTTGGCGGATGCATGGGTTCGGTAGCAAGTCATGGGGGGAGCCTTATGTACCCTCGTAATGATGTCTTTAGCGTCGATTAGCGTCGGTTAGCGTCTGGGAATCGACGAGACAGCGCCGACTTGGCGTCGATTAGCCTCGATTTAGCGTCGATTAGCGTTGATCTGGCGTCGATTAGCGTCGGTTCACAAGAGCTGACGAGACGGTATGGGAGGCTCCCGTGAGTTGCCACGGAACGTGGGGCGGTTGTCGTCGCCACGTCGGGTCGTCCCTGACACCCAGGGGCTGCCGGGGACAACGCGGCGGCCTTCTCGCTACGTTTTTCGGGTCCCGGGCTCTCGCGGATCGGTCTGGCTCGAGGGACGCCGGAGGAAGAAGAGGCTGTTGCCGTATACTTCTGCGACGTGCCTTCTGTTCTCCGTTTTCAGACGTCGAGGAAGCCGACGAGGAGGGGCTCGTCGTCGTTCTTCACTGGTCGATGCCCGTGCTCGCCACTCGCCGCACACTGGCCCCCCCTAACTCTGTGCGCCAGTCGCCACACAAACAGAAGACCACCCGGCAGGTAGAGGCGGTTTTGGTTTGTCCCGGGCCCAGAAAATAATCGAAGCAGTCACGCTGGCGCAGTGTCGAACGGGAATCACCTGCCAGGGCCCGACACGTGAAAACCTTGAAATTTCGGCACTTTTTTGGCACTCGAAATTCTTTAGGGTGGTTAGAGGGCGCTGTGGGTTTCCTCTCCATGAACCCCCCTCTCAAGGGAACTTGTTTGGGGGGTTCAACAATTTTTCCCCCCTGGATTCCCTCCATCAAGGGAGGTTTCTCAAGGTTGTTAAGAAGGGGTTGGTGGGTTTTCCCCCCAGGACCCCCCTGTCAAGGGGCAAACAACGGCTTTGAGGAGAGCTTCCGCTGGAAAAACCCACCAACCCCCCCTAACCCGCCGAAAAACACCCGCTGGGGGGGGGGTCCGGGGGGGAAACACATCACACCCCCTAGCCCCCCAAAAACCACCTTTGATGGGGGGGTCGGGGTGAAATCCAACAACGCCCCCCGCCATTCGAAGAACAACAAAAACACATAAACATAAACTTTGGCGCTCCGCGCGGATTTCTTAGCTCCGCGCTGGGCCCCCCTGGCGGCGCCTCCACTGCCGCCCCTGCGCTCCGCGCGCCAGGGAGGGGGGTCCGGCGCGGATCCAAGAAATCCGCGCGGAGCGCCAAAAGTTTATGTCGATCTGTTTTTTTCTTTACACATGTCGTGGTCGCCAGGCTCCAGGTCTCCCCGAGGATCCGTGCTCGGTGCTTCTCCCGCCTCGCTTTCCTCGAAACGCGACGACGGAGAGCTGGCCCGCCGCACGCTGCGGCCCTCCCGGGCCCCGACAATGACGTCCCGGTGAGCCCTGGTGTCCCACCTTGCATCCTTAGCAAATGACGACCGATCAGTTGAAAGGACCACGCACGATAACTAGTCACCAGCAACAAGCGCACATATCATATTGAAACAGCACGCGTGGACCACAATCAAGCAAAACATGGGCAGTAGCATGCCAGCGTGCCGAACGCCTGCGCATCCTTGGAACGCCTCGGCGACACATCAGCAGCAGACATAGGCAACACGCATACATGCACACGACAGACACCATGCGTACTGAACGTGAACACAGCGACCATTACATATGTAGCCCTTACGAGTGATATCCGCGCATAAACCGCAGACGTAGCATAGTTACTCTGTAGGTATATGCACCCGAAATCAACGGCGTTCACAACGCCCACGCGTAACATGCGTGCATAATGAACATGTTACAACCACATGTGGTCAGACACGCATAGCATTTGGCCAGGACAACTGCATTCGTGACATACGGACGTGTTTAGAGAGCAGGTAGCACGAAAGTGCAAACGCACTTTAGGCGAAGGGCAGGCACAACAAGCAACAGTATCGTTCATGTGTACAGAGCAGATGTAGACCGCACAGCGACCACGTGCACGAACGGGCCTCTATAGCAGACATAATGCAACGCGCACAGGTAACATCTCTACATACGGTGCAAAACGACCAGGCATAGCAAACCGATGTAAGTAACGCATGCGCTTGCCAAACCAGCATACGTAAGACGCATCGGTGCAGTCGGACACCACTGCAATATTATGCGTACGTCAAATAATCAGCGTAGTTAAGGATTCGGCACACGCAGTTATAACCAGAGTGCTTTGTAGCAGCTCACAAGCCAGGCCCCGAACACGTTCGCAGCACTTCCTTCGTGGGGATCGCCCGAAGCAGCATCGCTCCTGACCTTCCACCTGCTGCTCGCGAGCTGCAAACATTCACTGCCTTGCCTAGTCGTTAATTCAAGCCCGATGCTGACTACTTCCTGCTCGTAGCTTGTCTCTCTCCCTCCCTCCATCCCTTCTTTTCAGTGTACTGCTCTCCCTGCTCCCTGTTCGGTGCGCGCGCAAAGATTCGGTCCCCCCCCCCCCTCGGCCTCCCGCTCGCCGTCTAGGCGCAAGTCGTGCTAAACATGTGGGAGGTTCGCCTTCGGGGCCGAGCTCTCCCTGACCCATCCGCCCCTCGACGCCATCCCACGCCGTGCCTCGCGCGGCTGGAGCGGGGCCTCTTTCCCCTGATCGCGCGGGCTGCACGGGGCAGGCGGCCTGGCTTCTACCATCTTGTCCGCGACCGCCTTCGCCGCCATCAACTTCCTCGCCATCATCTCGGTGGAGGCGGCTACTTGTCAACTTTTTCCTTTTTTCAGCGCTTCGACACTGGGCGGAGAGGGGGGGAAGGAGGGAGGGGTCTGGCTCCGGACCTCTGCTTAGTGCGACTAGTTGCAGCAGTGCGTCCTATGGAGGAGACTCCATCTGCTCGAAACAGGCGCCCAGAATTGCCAAAATATACTCCATGGGCTGGGGAGGGGAGGTGGGGGGCGAGGGCCCGCGCCGATCGGCAAAATAATGAATAAGACAACGATCACTTTCGTGAAATAAATGATGACATAAACGTAAAAACCTGGGGGCCCGCGCGGACTTCTCCCATCGGCGCAGGACCCCCCTTCCCTGGCGCGCCGCCAGGGGGCCCCAGCGCCGACCCGGGACATCCACGCGGACCTTCGAGTTTTTAGGTGTGTGTGTGTGTGTGCGTGTCATTGTTTGTTTCCCTGCCGCTCGCTTGTTCCTCCTCTCTAGTCGCCCTCATCTCCGAGCCCGCAACGTCAGTTGGTGTGGGCTGCCCGGGGGTCTGGGCATGGGCAAGCAGGGTTTAATTTGCGTGCAGCCGAGCCCGGCTAAACTGATGTCTACGTACGTAGGGGGGAGCGTCCCCTCCTCTGGGTATTTCAAGCTCCTGGCATCTGGGATAGGGCCTGCGGTTCTCGCGAGGTTTGAGTGGGCCCAGACCTGCGGAGGGGATGGCCGAACCGAAGACGCCTACAGCGCGCCGGTTGTGGCCAGAGATGTCAGGAGTACTGGCATACGGCGTCGGCGTTTGCGCGACAGGGTTGAGCCTGCTCGTGCAGCAGAAGTAAGGAGTACCGCGGTGTGGCATTTCGCAGCCATGCTCCCCTGCCTGTTGCCGCAGCGACTGGGACAACGCACAGGCGGGTATCCGCTGGAGTACCTTCAGCTCAGGGCCCTGGTGGTCGGACCCCTCAACGACGACGAGGACGAGGACGAGGAGGGGGATGGGGGAGGAGGAGGAGGAGGTGGAGGAGGAGGAGGAGAAGGAGGAGGAGGAGGAGGACCAGGAGGAGTAGGAGGAGGAGGAGGAGGACGAGGAGGAGCAGAAGGAGGAGGAGGAGGAGGAGGAGGAGGAGGAGGAGGAGGAGGAGGCAGATTCAACGGGGGACCGGGCCCCGGGGCCCCAGGGCTGGAGCCCCGACCGCAAATGTGTGTGTGTGTGTGTGCCGGGGGCCAGGCCCGTGCTCGGGGGGGCAGCAGGCGCCTCCGAGAGACGACTCCGCCAGCCGCCGCGGCGGCCCAGGACGGCCCCGAGCCCTTGGCATCGCTCGGGCGTGTGCATTTTTCCTTGGGCGAGGACCATCGAGGAGCATCCTTGATCATTTGGCGAAAAAGCCACGCATAAAACCGAACAAAACACGGAATGGACGTCCGAGCGATGGCCAGAGCCGCCCCCCACGACGCCCTCCAGGGGTGTCCGACGGCCCAGGGCGCCCTTTGAAAGGCCCCAGCTGGCGTCCGCAACGCTTCCAGACCGCTCCAAGAGGGCCCCCAGGAGGACACCGAGAAGCGAACATCGTCCCATTCCTTTTTTGCAGATTTTCCTTCTTCATTTCAGCACGGTCCAAGTCCCAGGAGGTCCCCCAAATCGCCAGGATTGCCCAAGAGGCCCCCAGGAGGGCCCCAACCACCTCCTGGATGAAAAAGTCCGGATCGGCCCTACAAGGCCCCTTGCGTCCTCGCTCACGGATTGTATCTGGAGCATTGGCCCTCGATGGATCTTCGGCTCCCGATTTCGGACATGGCCCCCAAGACGAACCCAAGTCAACGCCGCGCGCCGAACAGCGGCACAGCACCGCAAAGCATCGATCACCAGAACCAGAAAGTTCTGTTTAGAATCGCGCGCGTCGAGACAAATAAACGCGCTTTGCAGAATCTTCCAAATAATGACGCTACTTCCAGGCAGCATAAGTCGGACCGGATTTTTTCCCAAGCATCCTGTGGTGTTGGGTCCTCGTTTTGAAGAGACAGCGCCGCGCGTCCCTCCTCCTCCTCCTCTTCCTCCTCCTCCTCCTCCTCCCTCTGCCCCCCCCTCCCTCTCCCCATCATCAGCATCACCGTCACCATCATCATCGTCATCATCATCATCATCATCATCATCATCATCATCATCATCATCATCATCATCATCATCATCATCATCATCATCACCCTCATCATCAGTTCGGCACACCCCTCACACGGTTTGTGGCCCCATAGGGAGCTCCACCGAAGGCCCCAGTGGGTGCGTTCGCATGCGTCACCGCCACACATTACGGCACACCCCTCACACGGCTCGTGGCCCCATAGGGAGCTCCACCGAACGCCCAAGTGGCTGCGTCGGCACGCGTCACCGCCACACATTACGGCACACCCCTCACACAGTTCGTGGCCCCGTGGCCCCATAGGGAGCCCCACCGAAGGCCCCAGTGGCTGCGTCCGCATGCGTCACTGCCACCCATTACGGCACACCCCTCACACGGTTCGTGGCCCCATAGGGAGCTCCACCGAAGGCCCCAATGGTTGCGTCCTCGCGCGTCATTGCCACCCAATTCGGCACGCCCTTCACACGGTTCGTGGCCCCATAGGGAGCTCCACCGAAGGCCCCAGTGGTTGCGTCCGCATGCGTCACCGCCACCCATTACGGCACACCCCTCACACGGTTCGTGGCCCCATAGGAAGCTCCACCGAAGGCCCCAGTGGTTGCGAAGCATGCGTCACCGCCACCCATTACGGCACACCTCTCACACGGCTCGTGGCCTCATAGGGGGCCCACCGAAGGCCCCAGTGGCTGCGTCAGCATGCCTCACCGCCACCCATTACGACATTCCCCTCACACGGTTCGTGGCCCTAGAGGAAGCTTCACCGAAGGCCCCAGTGGTTGCGTCCGCATGCGTCACCGCCACCCAATTCGGCACACCCCTCACAGCGTTTCGTGGTCCCATAGGGAGCTCCACTGAAGGCTCCAGTGGCAGGGTCCGCATGCGTCACCGCCACCCAGGGCAGCGTTTCGTGGCCCCATAGGGAGCTCCACCGAAGGCTCCAGTGGCAGGGTCCGCATGCGTCACCGCCACCAAGGACAGCGTTTCGTGGTCCCATAGGGAGCTCCACTGAAGGCTCCAGTGGCACTGGCCGCATGCGTCAACGCCACCCAGGAGAGCGTTTCGTGGCCCCATAGGGAGCTCCACCGCAGGCTCCAGTGGCAGGGTCCGCATGCGTCACCGCCGCGCAGGACATCGCTTCGTGGCCCCATGGGGAGCTCCACCGAAGGCCCCAGTGGCAAGGTCCGCATGCGTTACCGCCACAAAGGTCAGCGTTTCATGGCCCCTTAGGGAGCTCCACCGAAGGCTCCAGTGGCAGAGTCCGCATGCGTCACCGCCACCCAGGACAGCGTTTCGTGGCCCCATGGGGCGCTCCACCGAAGGCTCCAGTGGCAGGGTGCGCATGCGTCACCGCCACCCAGGACAGCGTTCCGTGGTCTCATAAGGAGCTCCACCGAAGGCTCCAGTGGCCAGGGTCCGCATGCGTCACCGCCACCCAGGACAGCGTTTCGTGGCCCCATAGGGAGCTCCACCGATGGCTTCAGTGGCACAGGCCGCATGCGTCACCGCCACCCAGGGCAGCGTTTCGTGGCCTCATAGGGAGCTCCACCGAGGGCTCCAGTGGCAGGGTCCACATGCGTCGACGCCACCCAGGACAGCGCTTCGTGGCCCCATAGGGAGCTCCACCGAAGGCTCCAGTGGCACAGGCCGCATGCGTCACCGCCACCCAGGACAGCTCTTCGTGGCCCTATAGGGAGCTCCACCGAAGGCTCCAGTGGCACGGGCCGCATGCGTCATCGCCCCCAGGACAGCGTTCCGTGGTCTCATAAGGAGCTCCACCGAAGGCTCCAGTGGCCAGGGTCCGCATGCGTCACCGCCCCCCAGAACAGCGCTTCGGGGCCCCATAGGGAGCTCCACCGAAGGCTCCAGTGGCACGGGCCGCATGCGTCATCGCCCCCAGGACAGCGTTTCGTGGCCCCATAGGGAGCTCCACTGAAGGCTCCAGTGGCAGAGTCCGCATGCGTCACCGCCCCCCAGAACAGCGCTTCGGGGCCCCATAGGGAGCTCCACCAAAGGCTCCAGTGGCATGGGCCGCATGCGTCAACGCCACCCATGACTGCGCTTCGTGGCCCCATAGGGAGCTGCACCGATGGCTTCAGTGGCACAGGCCGCATGCGTCACCGCCACCCAGGACAGCGCTTCGTGGCCCCATAGGGAGCTCCACCGAAGGCTCCAGTGGCACGGGCCGCATGCGTCACCGCCACCCAGGACAGCTTTTCGTGCACCCATAGGGAGCTCCACTGAAACCGGTACCCACAATGCGGTACTCGCATTGCATATGGTTGGGTCCTTCGTCAGGCTAATTTTGTGAGGGAGTCTCAAGCGACATCGCACATTTCCGATCGCCTCTGAAAATTTTAGGTCCTCTGGAACCCGATCGGAATTTTTTTCGTGGGAAGTCTTGGGCGGAATGCGAATTTCCGATCGTCGCCCCATTTGGCGATTATAATATCGAAGGATGAATCGGAAATCCGCCATGGCGGTCTGGTTTCTTCGGCCTAACGGGACACGCTCAACGCTAAGTTTCCGCGACCTCTGCGGTCTGGACTTTTTACTCGGGGGGGTTGTAGACGGCCCAAGGGCCCCATGACGAACCAAGAAGCCCCGACGACGGCCCAAGAGGGCCCGCAGAGGGGCCCAAGAAGGGGAACCCGAGCTCCGTACCCATTTTGCCTACAGCCATTTTGGCCCACGTAGCTCAAGGTCACTTTTGCTACGCAGAGGGACTTCCGCAAGGTTTTGCATCGAATGTTTCGCTGCGCAGCTGGAGTTCAGGCAGCTCTCCTGTTGGGAGGGGCCTCGGCACAGGACCTGTTCGTTCCAGGCCAACCGGGAGCGAAGTTCGGCAAGGAGTACACCACAGACGAGCGGGGCTTCAAGATTCGGAGGTATACGGCAAACAGCGTGCCGGAGGACGTTCCTGGTGACCGGAGGTTGCACTGGATCTTCAACGACTCTTTCGCGGTGGACATCAAAGACTTCCCCGAGCTTTGCGACTCGAGCATCGTGGAAGACACGTGCAAGCTCTTCAACGGGGACACGGATGCCGACTCCGTCAATCCGTCGGATGTGCAGGGCGTGCTCTCGGCCACCGTGGAGGGCGTCGCGGACCTCTGGGAAGCGGTCGGCTTGCCCATTCCAGCGAAGTGCATGGACTTGTGCCACGCGGTCGTGAGCTGGCTTGAGCAGCACGCCCACGTCGTGCCTCCGAAGAGCGACCTCGGGTGCTCCCAGAACGAGAAGACCGGAAAGCACGACTGCGACATCGACTTATCCCCCCCTTCTGTCCACGACTCTGGGGGTTCGTCCGAGGAGGAGCTCCCGATGTTCGACCACGACGAGCTGGACGAGAACAACCAGGACATTCCTCCCGAGAGCCTGGACGACGACGATGAGGACGAGGACGAGGCAGACGTAGAGGATGATGTCGAGTACGCGATGGACGAGATTGCCGTGGAGATCTCGCACATGTTCCGGATCTATCCCGAGGTCGTGACCGCCGTCGAGATCGAGGAGGACTTGCTTGACGACGAGGACAGAGCAGAAGATAAGCATCTGCGTGGCAGTCCCGAGATTGGGCGCAGGCTTTCTTGGGGTGGGCCTGGCGGCTACGGCGGGGGTGGGTACGGCGGTTCGTTCAGGGACAAGATCCGGAGGACCGAGCAGAAAGCCATCGCGTACATCGCTACCGCAGCCCGTGAGTTCAATAGGAAGAACACCAAACGCCATATGGACAAGTGGTTCGGAAGGAGGGCTTTCAGCGACCCGTCTTCCCGCAACAGGGTGAAAAAAGTGCTGACGTCTGTCAATCGTATGCTCAGCCATGTCGAGTATGTGTACCCAGGTCCCCAGTGTTCCCCTCGCACGTACGCCTACGTGTACCCTAAGGCTTACACGTGCGGTTCCAGTGCTGAGTACAAGCGGAACGCCTGCACGAAGACCCGTGGGGGGAAGTTCGTTTTCTACATGTGCCAGCTCACGATGAGGTCGCCCATGGCCGTTCAGATCGAGACGCTTACACATGAAGGGTCGCACCACGCGACAGCGTACACCGACGATGTCTGCATGGACTACTCAAACCCGTGCAGGCAAACAGCATACGGCAGGTCCCCGTGCCAACAGTTGGCGTCGAGGAACCCGACAAAGGCCCTGAAGAACGCCGACAATTATTGCTACTACATCAATGACATCACGGATGTAGGTCGCTGAACATGGTCGGAGTGGTTTCATCATCAGATTCCGCACGATGTCTGAATTTTTTGGTGGGAGAAAATATATGTGAAACCCATTGGTTTATCCCAGAGCGTTGGTGATGCAGTTGGCCGATCTCATGGGCTCGCAGGCTTGTGCGCAGCCTCCCGCCCTGCTGATGGCCAACCGCGTCCCGCCAGGAGCCGGGGCCGGCTCGCGGCAGCGAGGGCCGCGGTGAGCTTTTCACCGCCCGGCTGCTCCTGGACAGTGCGTGGACTTCCGCCTCGGTCCTTCGCACTTTTTGGGGCAGGTCCTCCCTCCTCCTCCTCCTCCTGCTCCTCCTCCTCCTCTCCTCCTCCCTGCGCCTCCTCCTCCTCCTCCTCCTCCTCCTCCTCCTCCTCCTCCTCCTCCTCCTCCTCCTCTACAGTCCACCCCCAGCCGACATCTGAGAGCATCAGAAGCTGGGGCGAGCTAACAGTGGCGAGGGCCGCTGGCTCCCTAAAACGAAAAAAAGACGGGGGAACCCGAGCTGCCGGTTCGAGCCCTCCGCCCAAGGATGAATCCCGAGGCCGCCAACAGGCCCCTGCGAGGCCCCCGGGAGGCCCAGAAGACGGCTAAAAGAAGCACCCAAGAGGCCCAGGGAATCCCCTGGGAAGGCTCCAGGACACTCCCACGACGCCCCCAACTGGGCTCCGAGATATTTCCAAAGAGACCTTACGATACGTCTGTGAGGCCTCTGCCACGAACCCAGCCGCATTTTCCTGATCGATCTTAGGCCGCCGTCAAGGCGGCTCCTGAGGGCACCGAATCGTCGCCAAGACGGTTTCGAAGCGTCTCCGATGGCTTGGGTGGACGTGTGTGTGTGTGTGCCTTTGTCACTGGAAATTAACGGACACAGTAGCGAATTCGAATATTTGGTGAGGGTGATTTGGGTAGTGGGTAAATATCACGCCGAATGCTCCTCCTCGATTTCGCCTCTGGAGGGCCAGTTTCGGGCCAGGGCCGTCAGGGATCGATCCTGTGTGCAAGGCCAGCCGTAGTGGACCCCAGGTAATCTTGGGGTCGAATTTTGCGACACATGGTACGTCAAGCCTCGAGGGTGTACGCATCGATGCTGAGGCTCAGGAAGCTGCTGGCCAGGATCGGTGTCTTGCGAAAGCATGTGTACTCCCCAGGCGGTGCTTTTGCACCAGGGGCTCCTAAATCACATGTTTCCCAAGCACAAGGTTCTAACTTGTGTGCTTCAGGGATTGCATGGGTGTGGCGGAGTTTTGCCCAGTGCGCAGTTGGTGGCCGTGCTGGGCGCCTCGTGGGCGCCTTGTGGGTGCCTCGTGCGCTGGGATGTTGTGCCGATGTTTCGTCTGATGTTCGCCCGTGGCAGCCTGTGGGTAGCTCGTGGGCGCCTCGTGCGCTGGGCGGCCGCATAGCTTGCAACACACACACACAACACAACACAACACAACACAACACAGCACAACACAGCACAACACA